TCTTTGTCTTACTCCTTGAATAAAATGCTTAGGGTACTGATTCAGTCTTTGTGCTGTGATGTAAGGATTCAGGCTAGAGTTTCTCCATTTACAACTTCAGCTGCTTTCCATGAATTTTAATAATCAGCATTTCAAAAATAGTGGTGTTGATACTTTTGTGCAGTTTCTAAATATCTTCTAGCATATTTGCATTAATAACTGACCTAAGTTTTTAAAATTTTCATACATATAGGAGTGCTGGTTCCATTTTGCTTCTAATTCGATAGTATTCCATTGAGAGAGAACTGTGTGATGCTGACTCTTTGAAACTCTGAGATTTTATCGTGGCTTCTTATGGGCTGCATTTTTGTGAACGTGGTAGGTATTTTTTAAATAAATTCATGAACTCTCACTGTTACAGTCAGTTCTCTGTATATAGACAGTTTTCAAAATGGGGATCTTTTTGTCTTGGACTTGAGTGCAGGCCTGTGTGGATGTCCATGAAAGACCCACCAGGAGCACCCTCCAGAGACAGACAAGGACAGGTTTATGAATGTTTTTCTGCGGCGGGAAAACTGCTTCCTGGGGGAAATGTGCAGTCTCAGTAAGGAAGGGCTTATTATGGGAAGGGGACATGTGCCAGGTGACAGTGAGATGGATCAAGGCTTGAGTGTCTAAGCTGTGGGCATGATCAGATACAGTCATGCTTTTTACCTAGCGGATGGAAAGGGGGGAAATAGAGCAGAGCTGACACCGGGGCGGGTAAAGGTGCAGCAGCAGTCACTCAAATTTTCAGGGGCATATTTGGTAGTGTTCTCAGTTAGTAATTTTTTCTCAAGGTGACTGCTCTGTGCAGGTGGGGTGGAGAGAAATGTGTGTGTAGTGTTGTGCATGTGTATTTACTATTGTAACTGTGATCTTCTCTTCAATGAATCCGCTAAGTGGTTTTTGTTTATAACAAAGATTTTTCTCTGAATTACTTTCACATTACTTTATTCACTGAAGTCCTAATGGTTTAGGGTCGTTGTTCAGAAAGTCTCTCAGGTGCCATGTATATAGTCTAAGCGACCTCAGCTGCAGACAGCTCCTCTTCCTCCTTCCCCATTCTCCTCCGTAAAACCCTGCCACAGCCACAGACACACAGATGCTCATGTAAGATGATTAGCGGTTGGTGTCCACCACTTGTCAGGTCCATGGTCTTAAACCTTTTCCAAAGTCAAGGGAAGAAATCATGGAGGAGAGAGATGGAGACAAGAGAGGATTCCATTACAGAGAGGCAGGAACTGAACACCTACACTCCAGATTCCGCTTGGCCTAAACTGTCTGAAGTAGGCATATGAAGGCAGGTGATGATTCACAATGAGGTTCTCGCAAATCCAGCTAGATTACAGAACCCAGAGTCAACTCCAAATATATTTAAGCTGTGGCAGACAAGGGTCCAACAGCAAGCCAGGACCCAGACAGATACGATTATCCAGCTGGACTCCAGCAATCCTACCCAGCTGGCTAACAGGCTGGCCTTGCTCAATTAATCTCACAATTATGCAGTCTCATATATCATACCATTAAATGTGAACACGTAGTTTCTTCATAAATAAATATTGCACATAATAACATATTTAATAATAAAAACTCTCCATAAGCCAAATTTATAAAAAGTAACTGGGAAAAGAAGGAAAATGGAACTGGAGAGGGAAATATAGAAAGCTCTAAGTAGTATATCATCTTTAAATATCTGAAACAAACATGATAAAATATTAACATTTTGTAATTTTGTTACGAATTATATATAACTATGTATTATTTTATAATATTAGGTGTTTATGCATTTGTAAGTTATTATAGATATATTGGGATGGCCAAAAAGTCCATTCAGTTTTTTTGCCATAAAATGAAAGACACATTTTTTATTTTCACCAATAACTTTGTTGATTTGGATATTTAGAGTATGTTAGCTATCTCCCACATTACATATTATAATTGAGAATAATGTTTATTATTCTCAATTAACGTCTTGATTTGATCACTATGAGTTCAACTGCTCTACCCAACCTGGAGCATCATCCAGTGACAAATCTCTGGCATGAAACTTCACAAACCACTTTTGACACATCTGATCAATTACAGCACCTTCTCCATACACTGCACAAATCTTTTTTCTTTTTTTGCCTTTCAGTTGTATTTTTACCTTTCTTGAAATAATAAAGCATAATATGCTGAAAATGTTGTGTATTTTCTTCCATCTTCAATATTGACTACACAAAAATTCACCAATTTTGATGTTTTTTTTTTAAGTGCACACTGGTATGACAGCTGTTACAATACAATCTAACAAAATGGTTTCAAACGAAGCTAAAGACAACTAAGAGGTACTAGAACCATCGCAGGGAAAAAAATTCAAGAAACTTTTTGGCCAACCCAATATTTATCGAAGTATAATTTACAATAGTAAAATGCACAAACCTTAAGGAAATTTTACACGTGTATACATTCATGAGATCACCAGCCAGGTCAAGATCTCTTCAGATTTCAGAAAGATTTCCTTGCCCTCTTTTTGGTCAAGAACACTCTCCCCCCAAAAGTACCCATATTCAAATCTCTATTTACCATTGGTTAGTTTTTCCTGAACTTAGATAATGGAATCATAGAGTGTATTCTTTTGTGTCTGGCTTACTTTGCTCAATGTTATGTCCATGACAGTTTTCCATATTGCTTTTTTTTCCCCATTTCTGTATAGCATTCCATTTAATGAAGGTACCATAATTTATCCATTCTGCTGCTGACCATCTCCAGTTTGGGTGCTCAATGCAAGCTAAAGTAGTGAAGAAACACACTACTAAGTCGATCAAGAAAAGAAGTTAAATCTGGATTATCAGTACATCATTCCTTTTACTTTGCATGTCTTGCCTCGACACATCAATAGAAGGCTGTTACTAGGAGATTCTTAGAAATGTTAGAGTTGGAGGGAGAATGTTTTCGATAATGATGTGTTTGTACCATCAGATCCACTTGCTTCCTTTCCCCACCAAAGCTCTCCACCCCAGGAAGCCGACCGTATCAATGGATGAAATCCAGCAGGCTCCTGTATTTTCGGACTTCCTCTTGGATTCAGCAAATAGGAAGTGCAGGGTGGAGAGTGAGACCAGGGTTTTTATGACCTGGCTTCCTCACAGTGAGGGAGCCTGGGGCTCACTGTGCTCCCTGACAGAAGTCACACAGCTCTTCTTGAGGTAACTTGCTCTCCAGGACTCTCCCCTTCCAGGTTCGGGAATCTCTCCCAACCTTCGTTCCTTTGGACCTAGGCAGTAATAGCTGTGCTGATGCTAGCCAGAACGTTCTGCACGGTCTGTTAAGGTTCCTCGACTCCTCACATACACATTTCATAATTAGTCCTCTTATACATAAAGCCCTTCTTATTTATAAGGTCCAGGATAAGCCCGTCTTGCATTATCCTCTTTTGAGCTTGCCCACACTTTTCAGTCAGGATTTGACTGGTACAAAGCTTTTAAATGTGTCTTGCTAATAAGCTCTAAGAGACAAGAAGGAAAAGTTGAATACTCTCTATCACACACATTCCCACACAGACACACACACACACACAAACACACGCACTCACCACATATACCCTCTCTCTCTTTAGGGCTTTCATAAGCACTTGGTCCTTATTTTACTTTAAAAATGCCGTCAGACAGATGAGGTGAATGGCCTGACCACTCAGAGCTTGCCTGTGGCAGTCAGTGTTTACCACGTGTACTTACAGAAGCAGAGGCAGTAACTGGCTCACAGTTCCCCCATTACCCACTGCACCCTGGACATCAAGGATGGTTGACCCAATCACCTTCTGAAAGAGGACCTCAGCCCCCTCTCCTTGGGCCAGGAGGCCTGTTGGTTGCATGACTGGGGGAAGCACTGCCCCTGCCTGGCATGTCCAGGGCCTGGTCCAAATCTGTTCCAGCCATGCGACATGACAGCCTAGACTGCCAGCTTGCTCTCCTTCATTGGATGGGAAAGCTGTGGGTTCTCCCTACAACATCAAGGGCTAGGATTTTAGGCTTGCGGTGGTAGGGGGAGGATGTGGAAGGGGGCCAGTGGTCTGGATCCACTGGTTCCCATGGGCCAAGTTTGAGCTCCCCAAGTTTGAAGAGGCAGCTCCAGCTCTGAGGCCAGCCTGCAGAGGGTCAGCCTGGGCAAGTCATTCCTTAGCTTTCAAATTCATTTTCTTCCCACACTATCACAATGTGAAGACTCAAGTATGTTTTATATATAATGATAACACTCCCAAAGTAATCATTATGTGCTGGCAGCTGTGTTACAACATTATTTTGCAGAACTTAAAAACGGATCTGTCAGCTGCTTAATTGAACTACAGCCTGACTTCAAATCAGTCGTTCAAACACAATACTGCTATCATGCACGTGTGACTCAGCAGTTTCTGCAAATCTACTATGGAAAGGCACTTGATGCTGAAGTTGATGGAAAGCTGCTAATGCCATAGATGTCACCAATGCCAAATATTTGTTTAAGCGTTCACTTGGTTGACTCGACAAGTATATGAATAAATGAACTTGCTAACGTATTTACATGTAAAATACTATAATTGTATATATTAAATTCTATACAAACTTTAATTTGAAGGGTAATATTGCAAACTAATGGTTTAGGCACCAGCATCATCAATGTTATTTGTTATATCCTAGTTACTTGTTATACCCTCTTGATTCTGCCTTTAGCAAACACCCCCCTTTCCTTTGGAAGGCACTTTGCCCTGAGCAATCACCTATGGCCACATGGTGCACAAAAAGTGACTTAATCTTATGATGCATCCTATTTGACAGAAGCTTCTTCCTCAAAAGCATTTCTTTATGATCTGCCTGAAGGAAAGAAAAAAAAAGAAAGAAAGAAACTCAGTGCTAGGCCCTGTGGGACGCAGAATGAAAAGTACTTCTCTCTAAGCAAATGCTGTCAGGTAAATCGCTGCGAGACCAGGGATGCAGGAAAAGAAACAAAAACTGCCACACCACTGAGCTTGACATGTACTGTTTTTATTTTGTGATAAAAATGCTTTTATATAAATTTCACCTTAACTACTTTTAGAATGAAACTTTAAAAAGTAAAAACAAAGCATGCATTTTCCTTACTATGTACAGTTAGGAATATGCAGTCATTTTATGGTTATTAAGTTTCCCATACAAACAGATATAATATAATTCTTAAGAGAAATGTACACAAGGAAGGAGCTGTAGTACCAGAGAGTTAGGAATGAGAGCCTCAGGGTATAGAACGTGTCCTATCAAATAGTCATCACACATTCAATGTATTGGTTAAGTCCAAATTCCCCAAACCACCTGCCAACAATACATTACACCTTTGGTTCTTTTCTGTGCAAGAATTATGAACTAGGAAGTTTAATAGTAAGATGATACGATGGACTTGAGCTTCATATCTGATTACTTACATTAAAATCTTTAACTTTCAGTCTCTCTTGCCCTCAAACCTCTACCTCCCTCATATCATGAAAATCAGAAAATGATGCTTAACTCAAAACAGAGATAAGCAAGTTAAAAAAATCTGCAGAGGATGACAGAAGAGTCAAAGACAGAATCTATAACGATAAACCAAAAATGGGGGGTTGACCTATACATGGCATAAAAGTTGTATCCCCTTAAAAGTTAGTCTGCCATCCAGAACCAAATGAGACAGTGAGTCTCCATCCTACCTTTTCTTTGATCAGATATTACACAACTCAAGCCTCCTTAACAACTAAGTGACTGACAAATGCTTGAAAAGCAGTATCTTCCTCTTCATCACAAAAGCCTGTTGTCTGTAATGGCAGCTTCCATGTTCCTTTCCCTTAAACCCAAAAGATTCCAATTAGAAACAAGCAAGTCAGGCCTGCATTGTGTTTGGAGAGGGAGGAGGTTATAAAAGATCCAAGCTGCTGGATCAGAGGCCGATAATTCCAGTAAGTGGAGCTGGAACAGGATGACAGAGCAGGGCAGGTGTGGTGAGGTCCATAGTGATTCAGGCATATAGGTTCTCCCACCTGTGAATTACCAGATGGGTCCAAGGAGAGAGAGCATTTAGAATGAAAAAAATGTTACACACCATGAAAGGGGCTTGTAGAGTTGGCACATGAGACAATAAAACACAGACTGAACAAATAAATGGTCTGCTTATATTAGAGCAGAATTAACTATTTTTGTTCATTCATGAACTTGGGCAGGACTGGAAAAATCATTTGCTGGCTTCCACGCTAACAGACACATGGGGCTTCTACATAGGCCACAGACAGACAAGTCAGGTAAGTGGGAAGCACTGATGAACACTGCCAGGCGAGGCAGGAATGAAGGCTGCTATTCAAACCCAAACACAGTAGGCAATTGACCTATTAACATCTACTAAATACTCCAGTGGAACTAATTTTCCAGGATCATGACACTGCAGCGCCAGGTAGATTTGACAGTGTGGCCAGAGGACCAATTATTCGCTGACTCAGGGGGAAGGGAAAAAAACTGTTGTCTCCCCATTTCTTGTGTTAACTAGAATACTTCTGCCCTTGACAAAGGGTCAAGGACATTGACAAGACCACAAATAGAGCAGACATAAGTGAGATGCAATTCCAAAATGAACATGAGGATGACAAGGGCAGTGAGTCTATAACTGTCCATTATCATTGAGAAGGTGACTCTAGGAAATAAAAATGTTTCTTGGTAGTTACCTAAAAGGAGATGTCATGACTGCTCCAAAGGAAATGAAATGGTGCCAAAAAGTAGCAAAGGCTATCTCATAGTTCCTCCTTTTCAAACCTTTTATAGGACTGGCTTTGACCCTAGAAAACTAGGCCAACATTTTATTTCCTGCACTTGAAAACCCCCGTGTTCAGTGAGAACCTACTGGGTGCACCAGTAACTCAGACCATACTGTGTGGAGGGAAGACTGGTGAACGGGCCTGCGATCAGAAAGAGAATCAATCAAGAAGTAAAGACTGATCGCCTGGCAAAGGGAAGACTACCATGATGGGCTCTTGAGCCAAGGAAAATTCCATGCTAGAAGGTAAGGGAATATTATTTGAGACATTTTTTCCTGTGGGGACTGGCGGAAGGAGAGGCTCAGCATATAGACCCACTTTATCTGCCGGAGGGCTCTCAGAGCTGGAACAGACGTGTTTCCCATTGGAATCAACAGTGCTTGCAGGAGGGGCAGGGACCTATCAGTGGGGACACTTCCTACATCAGTTAGTAGCTTAACTGCTGGTCATTCCAACATTCTGAACTTTGCCTGTTTTTTTAACAGGGCTCATAGTACCTACACCACCAAGGATAAAACATCACACTGACTAGGCCCACAGATGAGAAAACTGCTTCTTATCCTTCTTCCTATAAGATTTACATGAAGCCCTGCATCCAGGCCAGAGAACTAGGAGCAGCCTCTTGAAAAAAATCTCCTGTCCCCAAATTGGGCTCAGAGAAAAATATTTTGCTCCTATTCTAGGAATGCTATTATGTAGGAGAAGGCAGTATATCCATTTTCAAAATAAACACATGAGAACCATGACCAAAGTGAACCCTGTGAGACTTCTGGGACACCAGAAAGCAGGAGGGCAAAGGAGGCAGAAATTACATCCTAGAACAGGAATGATTAAAAATACAGAGGCCAAGGCCTACAACTTGGTGGAAGGGCTACAACCACGGAGAGGTGCAAAACTTAAAGCACCAAATGAAGTCAAAAGAATTTCAACAGCTAAGATGAGACAGGTGAATTCAGCAAGGATTCCAGGCCAAAATTCCCAACAGGACTCTACTGTAGAATCTTCTCATGGTTATGGCAGAAGCCCCCAGGGCTTAACATGTAGTCCGAGCTGCAAGAATGTCTGGGCTCCAACAGGCATCCACCCCAGTGTCCAAATAAAAGTAAACAGGGTTCCAAGTCTTGTATTTATCTTGCATTTCCACAAACATGGCTTGATGGGCAAGAGAGTAAAAGGAGGCTGGTCACTGTCCCTCAGAACTCTGCAAATATCCAGTGAAGCTGATAAAATTGCTTCCCTTGCATTATTGGAAAAGTCAGAGTACCTCCCCTCTTCTGCCTCCAAAAGCTGGCTCCAGAGATTTCTTCATTTCTCTCCAGGATGACCTTCATTTGCTCCACAGCAGCATTTACTATAGGCAGTTCTGTCCCTGCACTGGAGTCAGACTCTTTCATGCATAAACTTGCATGTTGCTGCGTGGTGGCTCAGACATGTGCGTCCCAGGTCCCCGCTGTCCTGCTCCAGCACTCCCAGGAGTAGGGCTGGTGGTCACATCTGACCAGTCAGAAGCAGAGTGGGGTGACGAACTTGACCACTGGTCAGGAGACTCTGGGGATGGTGTTAGGTAGGGATGCTCACCCTGCAGATGACCACTGTGACTGGGCGTTCGCTCAGCAGCATTTGAGGAAGCATAACTGTGCTGTGAAGGGGGTGTGGGGTACTTGCCCACAGAAGCCGGGAAAGGATGATAGGTTGGGAGGATGGTCTGAGCAACCTGGCCATCCTGCTGGGGCATCATGGCAGTGGGGAAGGCCATATTGGGCAAACGAGCCATTTCTGGAATCTGGTACATGGTGGGCAGGGGGCCTGCAACAGTGGGAGGGCAGCTGGATTGAGGCTGGGGTGCCCCGGCTGGTTGGGCAATGTTGCCTTTGGGGATTAGCTGGAAAGTCACAATGGGGGGCAAGGGCTCCCGAGGGGTAGTTATATGTTTCCCTTCTGGGGGTCTGCTCTGGGGAGCTATGCCAGGAGGGGTGCCCTCAGCAGGTGCCAGCACCATACCAAACATCTCATTGTACTGGCTCTCATTCATCTCCATGCAGTTCATCCAATCTGCTGGGACAGAGACCGGATGCAGCCTACCCAAGCTCCCAGCATTGCCACTGCCTGGGGGAACCATGTGGTGGTGGGACAGCAGCTGGCTCACTGAAGGAAGCACAGTGCTGGCCCCGTGAGCCACAGGCTGAATCTCATGGAGGTTAGAGAAAGACAGTGCATGCTGTGCGTGGACTTGGGCAGAGGGCGCGGCAGTGGCCAACATAGAGTTGGGTGAGGCCTGCAAGAGGCCAGGGGATGTAATCATTGGAGAGGATGTGGTGTCAGAAACATATGTGTGAGGAGACTCTAGGGAATCAACGGGGGATAAAGTCACTGAGCTCTCAGACAGCTGGCCCTTGTCACTAAGCGACTTCTTCCTCCTACTCCCCTTGGCATCCTTGGCTTCCTTGGCAAGGTTAGGAAGGCTGGTGGGCATGGCACTCTTGGTGTTGGGTCGTCTGGGTTTCTTGCCCACTGGAGTGTGCTTCAGACTGAGGAAAGGTCTGTTGGGCCCACAGATGACAGGGGAGAGGGCAGAAGTCAGCACAGTGCCTGGGGGGCTCGGGGTCACGTTGTACTCGTCCAGAAGGCGCACAATGTCATGGTGCATGCGTTCCCGAGCCACGTCCCGGGGCAGACGATCCATGTGGTCTGTGATGTCCCGATTGGCAAAATGGTCTAATAGGATCTTGGCTGCTTCATAGCTCCCCTCCCGGGCAGCAAGAAACAGAGGTGTCTCTTCCTACAGAAAGGCCCACAAAAAACACATATTAATGACACTCGAGAATGCAGCAGTGTTTCTGCAGTCTTTCCATTACCACCCCTGTAGACATTTTTTCCAAACTGCCTCCCTGCGTGAAACTTTAATACCAAAAATAAATTGAATATCTAGCTTTGTGCTGAATGGATATCTGTGCCTCACACATAAAAAGAGTAAGACTATTTCACCCCACCCCAAGAACCAATTTTGCCATTGAGGGCAGTACCTTCTTAGGTGGGAATGTGTGGAATAAAGCATGCCATTGAGCCAGGGACTGACTTAAAAGAGCATTGAGCTTATCAGAAAGAGGTCCTAAGAGAAGAGGAGTTAGAAATATAGAAAGTAGGAAGGGAAGAATCTAAAGCAGGTACAGAGCTGAAAAAATAAGAGAAAGTAAAAGAACACAGAGAAAAACCATGAACGAGAAAGACCTAAATCAGGGGAAAAGAGAAAATAAAAGGGAGAAGATGAGTGAGACAGGGGAAGCAGGACATAAAACACAGAGGAAGAAAAGCAAACAGGAAAACACCTGAGGTCCAAGAACACACAAAAAGAGCAACAGCAAGACAACTGAAAACAATCACGAGAGAAGGAAGTGAGCATAAGCAGAACAGAGAACAGCAGAAAGGGGAATGTCAAAGGAGAGGAAGGCCGAGAAGGCTACACCCAACTTATCACAGAACAGCCTGGATCAGACTGTGTGCTGAGTAGGCAGGGAGCTCAACCCCGATCCTCCCCTAAATACGCCTGATACCCTTCCTCAAGCTCTCTGCACCCAGTTTCTGTCTAACCAGCCTCCATCTTTGTCTATACCTATCACTAGGAGCTATGGGAGGAAAGGTGGGGGGAGTGACGCATTCTGGGCACTGCTGTGCTTGTCCTTCAGCTCAGAGCCCAGACTGTACCTTGTTGTCCTGCATGTCTCGGTTGGCCCCATTTTTCAACAGCAAAAGTGTTGCCTCCACATTATTGACAGCAGCTGCCCAGTGAAGTGCAGATTTTCCTGCAGAGAAAATCATTCATATAAGCAGACAGAGTAGAAGGACATGTCCTACTCCTAGTATAAAGAAGCATCATGACTTGTACAAGGAAGGAACTTGAACTTCCAAGAGAGCAAGCAGCAAGTCATTTCTCTGTTCTAGAAACACTTCAGTACAGGCTGCTTAGCCTTCAGAAGACCTCTAGGTATAAGGATCATTTGTCCATGGTACCCCACCCTCCCCAAGGCAGATACCCTTTCACACACTGAAGACAATGACCCATTTATGTATTAGTTGCCAGAATGTATATTTACAACATCTATCAGTCTCCCAGACCCCAGTGCATTCATCTCTCATAAGTCCTCATGTCAAGAGTGGCACTCCAGGCAACTTACAGAGACAAACCTTGTACAGACTCGCTCTGAGGTCCAAAAACCCTAACAATCCTTTCCTATCTTCATCTACAAACCTCCCAATGGCACAGACCTCTGAGCTCAGTATGTTAAAAGGAAGAATGAATAAATTAATGAGTCTTGAGTGGATTTGGATCTGAGACAAATCTTTAAAGACCACATAACAATTCTCCCTGGAGGATGCTTTGCAGGTAAGAATCCCAACTCCTGCTTCACCCCTACCATGGTCATCCACCGCATTCACATCTGCCTGGCAGTTGATCAGTTCTGCCACCATCCCCTCCACAGCAAGGCGAGCAGCCAGGATCAGGGGTGTGGTGCCATCATTCATCCTGGCATCTAGATCAGTTACTCGGTTGCGGATCAAAATCTAGAAGAGGAGAAAGTACAGAAGAGAGTCAACTGGATAGAGAATATAATGAAGCTCAGAGAAGAAACAAGAGCATCATAGCTGAGGCTGCATGTCAGTTCCTGGAGGGCAAGAAATGTCTTATTTTTGTGCCCAAGTTTCTACCATGGTCAATCAACAAATGTTTGTTGAATAAATGAACGAACAAATGAACAAACACGTTCTCAGCAGACAACTGCTCCATGTAAAGTGAAGTACTTCTCCTTTCTGAAGAAAGAAGAGGGATGTGGGAAAATATCATCACCTCAATTGTGGTATAGAGAATGTTTCCAATTTCCTTATAAGGGTAAAATAAAAGGGCATCTAGGAGTATATTGTGAATTCATGTGACCATCCCAGAGGTAGAAACTGACACTATCAAAGGCTATCATAACAGGTATCACTCCCATCTAATCTACTCATTTGGGAGGCATTTTGGCACATCAAAAACACACAGTGATTAAGAATCAGAAGACTGGTGTTATCTGCTGTTAGCTCTATCAATATCTGCCTGTAGATAATTAGGCCAAATTGCCTGCCTTCCTTTTTCTGCTTTCCCATCTAGCAAGCATGACTCTACCATTTACTTTACCTTCTCAAAGAATTATTGAATGAGCATAATGGGACGTTAAGTGTCTCATCAAAGATAAGACATTAAGGATCCATAAGGAAGCAGCTCTTCCCATGTTCTTTACCTGGAAGACACCCTGGGCATCAGCTGCCACTGCAGCATGGAGAGGGCAACGGCCCATGTTGTCCTGGGCATTGGCGTCCGCCCCCGCATCCAGGAGACGCTTGGCAGCATCCGCCCTGGAGTAGCGTGCTGCAAGGTGCAGGGCCATCTCACCGGTCCGGTCTGTCTGAGCCTGGAGGCTGGCACCCTGGTACACCAAGTCTGTGATGATGTTGGCAGAAGAGTCCTCTGCATCTTCATCTTCGTCACTCATATCGGAGTTGCCCACTCGGAGGGAAGCCAGCATCAGTGGGGTGCACCCATCTGTAGAAAAGGAAAATCCCAAAGGGTGCTCAAGGAGAAGAAAGATATTAATATCCATTTAACCCTATTGTCAGGGAAGTTCAGGATGAGTAAAGTCATTCTGATGGGGAAAAATCCCTGTGCTTGTGGTAATTGGCCACCTACTCTTCCTCTGATGATGTCCTTTCTATAAAGAATGAGACAGCAAGAAGGGGGAGTTAAATAAGCTTTTCTGCTCAAGTTGCTGAGTGTTTTGTTATTTTAAAATGGATGACATTTTTAAATATTCAATATTAATAGAATTATAGGCACTAAGGTATTAATTAAACTCATTCTCTATCCCTCTGCCTGAGATAAACTTGTTCTATTGTACTAAAATCTACCCCATATAATCAGCCTACTTGTTCTCAAGCACACTATATATGAAGCAACGTGAAATCCTTCCCTTTTTTCTAATGTTTGTTTGTAATTTCTACATATAAGTTCTCATATAAGTTCATAATTTTATAGTTTCCTCAATCTAATTTAGGATCTGTGGAACTGGCAGAGGGCGTATCACCAAGTAGGACTAATGTAGGACTCACAGCCTGGAACCAAGGGCAGGCATGGCCTCGTGAGAGGGGGAGGATGGGGTGCTGACCTGGGCCCCGGACATTCACGTCCAGCACATCCACCTCCTGCTCTGCCTGTGGAGGAGTGAGAGCTAGCGATGGTGTCCTACGGATGTCTGCGGCTTCAAGGTGCTGCTGCGTCCATGGGCGTCTATCAATGGGGTCATCTTCTGAGAGTAAAGCCTCATCTTCACCCTGAAAAGGAAAGACAGCTCTTGCTATCGGCCTGGCCCACCACGAGGAACTGTGGACATGGAATGAGTCCAGAGACTCCCACCGCTTCTCCTAATCTCCCACCCAGTTTACTCCCAATTCCTACTCTAACCCTTCAGGGTGGTGTCCCCATCAGCCTCCCATGGCTCTCATGATGTGACTTCTGTTCATGTGTCCTGTACCATCTGTACAATTCTCCCAACTGTAGGCTGCAGCCTTAATATGTGACCTATCTTACCTCCCTAATGTGCTAGTTATACATCCACAAAGCACCATTTTCTTGCTTCTGGGCATTCACTCATGCTGTTTGTTCCCTGTCTGGCATGGTCTCTCCCAATTCTTTAACTCCTTACCTACCCTACAGATAAATTTAGAGCTTAATTTGTCTTCTTGGTCCTAAAGCACTTTGCTCTTCTGCTCAACTGACCATGTGTTAAGTGCTCCTTGGGACTGCCACCAGACTGTATGGTTTATGAGAATGGGGGACGAGCCTGCTTCAAGGCTGCCGTCCTGTATGAACACAGAGATCAGCACACAGCAAGCACTCAGAAAATATTTGCAGTAATCATTATTATAATTTTAAAAGCAGCTACTCTTTATTGAGTATCTAGTATGTGATAGAAAAAACAGATAAAGCACTTTACACATATTGCTGTATTTAATCCTCACAATACCTCATAAAGAATTATTAATATCCCTATTAATAGTCTTACTTTATGAATAAGGATAATTAAGTACAAAGAGGTTAAATAATTTGCCAGCTGTTAAGTAGCACAGTTAGGACTGGAATCCAATTCCAGTGGTAACTAGAGCAATGTTTTTGGTCATCATGCTACACCGCGTGCCTGTACTGTGAGATTCATTTCCTCAAGCTGATTTAGAACATCGACAGGATGCATCTGTATCCCAGCCATGCAGGGCTACGGATGGGTGGTCTCCTTTTCCACATCAGCCTCAGCCCAATCTATTGCTTACTGTTAAGTGCTTTTAGTTTCCTGGGCTCGAGCTCAGGTGACTATGAAGCCAGTGGTCACAGGCTTTCTTCCACTGCTTAATTTCACCTTTCCTTCCAGAAGAGAAATGCCCAGAGAGAATAAGGGAGAGATGTAGTCATGCGGGAAACTGCTGTTTACACACTTCAGTCCTTACTCGACTACCACCTATGACACTTTTCAGGAAGGAAGCAATTTGTATTTTCAGAGTTCTTACTGAAAACATGTAGGTAACCCACGGCTGTCAATGACCTAAAGATTCATACCTTTCATGACAACCTGGGACAGCCACTGCCTGGGCAACACATGAGGGGGGACCCAAAAAACTGGAACTTACTTATAAAAAATTGTGTATTTATTCTTACATGTTTAAACTTCAGTCACTTTCAAAGTATCTTGTTTGATGCAACACACCTATTGAGACATTTTTCCACTGTTCAAAACAGTCTTTGAACTTGTTGATTTTGATGCCTTTTAGTGCTTCTGCCATTTTTGTGTTTGCTTCACCTCTTTCACATCAGTAAATTGTTTCCCTCTGAGGACTTTTTTCACCCAGGGAAACAAAAAAAAGTCAGTTGGGGTCATGCTGCTTGTGGTCAAAAACTGCTGAACACTCCGCACAGTGTGGGCAGGCGTACTCATAAATCACCCATCATAAAATGGGCAAATGCATTGACAGAGTCTTCAAAAAAAAATTCACTGAAGCCAAATGCAACCTCTCACAACACCACCAGCTGGTACACTGATACAGATGGTTCCCTAGAACACTCACCTAGCAGGGAAAGCCTGTACTACAAGGGGCCTGCCCTCCAGAAGAGAATTCCGGTTTTTCTTGGGTCCCCCTGTATCACTATCACTCCCATTTGGGACATTCTAACTACCAAAGACAGAAATTGAAATGTGACCAGATAATGGCTGACAATGACCAACTTACCTTGGCTTTCTTTGGCTGGGGCCCTTCATCATCAACCCAATGTTCACTTGTTCCAGAACCAATTAGGTTAGCCTCTGAGACTTGCACTGAGAGATTTCTGATATGCCAGGATTACGAAGGGGAAAAACAAAGCAGAGGTCAATCATCAACTAATACAGTGGATGTTAATATTTTTCCTACCATGACACACTCTCATTGCTATATTCAAATTTTTAGGGGCTTTGGCCCTGAAAGGATGGACAGTATTTTACATCTCATTACCCGAATAAACATCCCTTCCTTTCCCGCTGATCAACAGCTTACAACAACAGTGTACCTCAGCACAGAAGCTGAGCACCAATGGGATAATATTCAATATGCATAGAATAGAAGCACATAGTTATTCTCAAAAAGATCCACGTTTGATTTATCTGTGCTAAGTACAACTGTGAGTCATGGCTTATTGGCAAAATGTCTTACTTCAGCCCCACGGCATCCTGTCCCACTGGCTCACGACGCTTGTGATTGCTGGAGTCTCGGCGAAGGGTGAAACCTTCAGGCAGCCAGAGGGAGCCATGCTTCCGCTTCCGTTTGGCCATGATAACCCCCAGCAGCAGAATAAACAGAATAATGACAACAGCAACAGCAAGTAGATAGAGAAGCTGGGTGCGTGGTGGACTTGGCGGTTCACCTAAAATTGCAAATGACAGAGAGTGCTCAATAAAACACCAACCTCTCAATATTGGCTTTAAATTTACTTACAGGAGAGCTTTGAGCTCCCTGGCCCTGGAAAACAAAGAGCTGCACATTGAAAAGTGTGCCCTTTTCTCTCTGCCCCAGGTGATGCTCCCCCACCCACACTTTCCCCTTCACAGTGTACAACTCACTGTCAACAGAGACGAGAGGGTATGACAGGGTGCCCTGGATGGCGTGAGAGGCCAGAAGCCCTGCCGCTGCATCTGTGTTCTTGAAACACTGGTCTGAATCTTGAACACACTGGCGGTTGTCAATTTCCAGGTACACCTTAGAGCTGTGGGTGCCAAGGAAAAGAGGAGGAAGGGGAATGGTGAGGAACACAGGGTGCCAGTCAAGCTGAATCAGAAAGGGTCGCATGAGTCTTCCTTCGTTGGCTTCAGTTTCGGCCTCTCCCCTTTGTGATGCTGCCTCCTCCAAAAGGATCTCCGAAATTAAAATATAGACCCTAATTCCCACTTAGAGAATATCTCACTTTCCTTGGCCTGGCTGAGTCCTAGCCTTCTGGCTTAGGCAACACAGCTGAGAAGCCAAAGATTAATACAAAAGAGGTGTCCTACTGAAGGGATAGGAGGCAATCCTGCCAAAAGGTTAAAGATCCTAGCACTTGAGGGGGCTTCCTGACATCCCACCTCCTGCTCGCTCCAGACCACCTTTCAAGACCCCAAGATTAAGGCAAAACTTTACTCTTAAATATAAATACTGGGATCACAGGTTCGTTTTACATGATGGGCTGTTTTATGTGTCTGAGTTTGCATTTTTATAGATTTGCTTATGACTTCTTCTGTGTATTGAAGTACTCAGCTTTATAAAATTAAGCTGTAAGTTCAGAAACCAAAAACCTACCCAACCACCTCCTGTTCTTGATCATCAGGAAGGGACCTGCGTGTCATCCTTGGCTTCTTCATGGCAGCTAACTTCTCCCCATAATAGGGGTAGACCATGAGGTTCCCCTGATAGTCCTGTTTGATGCGCAGATTGGTGTGCAGCAGGGTGCCCAGTGCCCGCAAAAAGTTGCGAGCATCCTGGAGTAGATGTTCAGGTGGCAACAGCACCACAATAACCAGGGTACCCTCTGCCAGGTTCTCCGGCCGATCAGCAGCACAGTCCAGCCCATCCCAGCCACACTCCTCACTGTTGCATCCCTGGTCACAGCGGTTGTCTTTGAAGTGGTCTGCACAGTACTTGTCATACCTAGGCAGGGGGAGGCAGAGGAAGGAAAGGAGCCCGGATGGTACTGGAGCTTTATTTGGATTTCAATGGGGAACTATTGTGGATTTTTCCTACCCATCTTCTGTGGCTCAGGTCAGACCCCAAATGCTCCATTGAACCTTCCTTGAATGTCCTATCTGCCATCTCAGAGTGTATAGAGTCTATGCCACACAACATCAGTGCGTGCTCCCTCAGGGAGAGACAATATGGTGCTTACTATGTCACCAGGGCTTACGGGCCCCCTGGTGGCTCGTCATCTTTTTAAGTCAGATGTATAAACAAAGCTGTATACCTGAAATGAAAATGCACCTGGTTCATGCCTACTCTGTTTTTGTATCCACTTTCAGAAGTAAAAGGTGCCTCTCAGAGATGCCTTCAGAGCCTAGATTTACAGCTCTGAACCATCAACAGCTGCTATACAAAGGACTATGTCAACATGGCCTATTTCTTTCCCAGTGAAGACTGAATCTTAGCTATGGAAGGCAGGCAAGGAGGTGAGTGCCCCATACAGGATACCACATCTAACTTGTAAAGCCTCTTTCAAATACTGGGAAAAGGAAATTGAATCCCAAAATCTAAACAATGCTCAAACCATTTTATCTACACCTCCTCCCTGACTCCCTCCCCTTGCTAGTTACACCACACCATACAACTTGCCACGCTAGCTCAATGAAGACACCTGGAGTCAGGAAGTGCTGGATGTGCTTTGGTGAGCAATTTAACCTTCCAGGTCTCACCTGTGAAAGGCCATTAACAATACCTATGCCTCACAAGGTTGTTGAGAATTCATCAGGGTCAAATTAAATGGAAGGGCTAAAAGGAAAGTTACTGTGTAAACCAGAGTGCCCTATGAAGTGAACACCAGGAGGGTTAAGTGGCTTAATCTATCTTATGCTTCCTGATAAATCCAGCTGGGGAAACCCAGTCTTAGAGAAAGGAATGGGGTAAACAGATAGAGGTACAGACCTTTCCATCCATCCTGCAGGCAGGTTATGTGAGAGGCTGCCTGAGAGTAGGTAACACCACTTCCAAAAGTTATTTCCCCAGAAGGTCACGAGAGCAGCAGGTGAGAAGGCAAAAATAGGAAGAGAGAGGGCAGTTGTGCAATGAGCATTCCTGGACCTCTGTCAGCAAGGGAGAGCACAGGTAGCGTGTGATGGGACAAGGCTGACACCAGGAAGAGGGCCTCAGGGCACCAGTCTGAAGGGCAGAGGCAGCTTGGGCTGAAGCACTGGAGTGGTTAGGAGCAAGAACAAGAAACCAAGGTGGGTTAGTGACAGTCTCCTGCTGCTTCTAGGGACCCTGGATCCTTACTTGCATTGCTTGCTATTCCCCTGGCATTCAAAGTGGTCAAACAGGCACTCGGCTGTGTTGCACAGCTCATCACACTGGTTGTTGATGTATTTCCAGCAGGGAAGTGGGGAGGAGCAGTTGGCCCAGGGGTCCTCTATGGTGAGGGAACAGTCACCCCCATCCCACTGGCAGGCGTGGCTGTTGCAGGCCTCATCGCAGACATTATCCCGAGCTTTGTCAGTGCAATACTGGCTGTCACAGGTGGCAGGAGGGATGCTGGTGGGGGCTGTATGTTCGCAGTGGCTGCCCCAGAATGGTGGAGGGCACTGGCAAGAATAATATGGAGGCTGGCGCTGTGGGAAGCAGCTCCCCCCATGCTGGCAGGGGCTGCTGGCACAGCCTGAATCGCAGTCCTGGGGGTTGGGGCAGAAGCAGCGTGGTCCTGAAGTCGTGTGCACACACTGCTCCCCTCTCTTGCACTTCACTTGTCCACAGCTGCTCTGGCATCTTGCCCCGGAGAATCCCTGTGGAAGTCAGTGAATAAATGAGGCTAATGGATCGATTCTTGAGGGCGTACCTTATTTCCCCTCCCAATCCCCTCTGCCATAGTTCTAGGGAGGTAAAGACAAGACACTGGGCTAAGATCTCTCCATGCAGGCTCCTGAACCAAGTTCTAAGAAGAGACCTCTCTGAGTCAACCTGTAGGTCAGGGCTGAAGGTTCCATGGAGTGATGTAAATTCTATCAGTTTAAAAGATCACTTCCAAATTAAGCCCACAGGTCATGGTGGGATTAGACACAGGTGACTTTGTATCTATAAGTACTTGCCTAACCATTATTAGATCACTTATATAATGGCTTTACGAGAGCACAGGAATTGTATCAGGAGTTGTGGGTAAATAAAAAACTTCCCATGTCAGTTCATTCTCATACTCCCTGCTTAGCTCAGGCCAAGGTTACTGCACAGGCTTCCTTTTGGTGTCTACCCACACACAGTGATCTCTGTTTTACAGAGGATTCAGCCTCTGGCAGTGGCAAAAGAGTTTGCCCAGCAAATGGCTAAAATTAGGCTTCCTTCTAGATTAAGGAGCAGCTTGCTCCCAAATAGCGCCTGCTAAGGAATGTAAGCAAAACAGCATTTCCAACCAACCCTGCCCCGATCTGGGCAGCATGACAACCCTCCAGCATAGGACCGAGAAGCCAGAGACAGCGGTCCTTTTTTCCAGGGCACATTCCACCACTTCTTGTGGTTTCCTCTGGTGCTTCTGAAGATCAACAGAGATTAGGGAGCTCACTGCTTCTGGGAGTATCTTAACAGCTCTTAATGAAAACCCAATCACTTTCTTCTGAAGGAGCTAAAATTAAGAAACCTCTCCAATGAGAAAGCTCCCCATGGAACTTGTAAAGACCAGGTTTGAGCTCGGCTTTGTCAGACTGCATGGAAGACAGCATGCTCCTTAAGTAGGCAACACGGACTTACCGGGGGACAACGACAAATGAAACCATCAGGCATGTTGCTGGCCACAGCACAAGACCCTCCATTTAAGCAAGGCTTCTGGGGACACACATCGATGAAAGTTTCACAATGACGACCTTAAAACAGAAAATGAAAAAGAATTTTAAAAGGCAGAAGTAGTAGCTGCAAGTTACTGAACAAAACACTGCTAGGATGTGAGCTAGCCAAAGGATTAGAGATAGAGTAAGAGGTATGAGAGTTCAGTTCTATGCCTAAGGGAACATGAAACGATGAAGAAAACACTCACTGGATCTCAATGTGATTGACCCATCCCTGGCTCAGGCTAGTTCCCTCACCTGTCTTGTCTACACTGCACGCACACATGGCACACATTCCCAACTGACTCACAAAACAGGATGCATATGAACAATGACTTCAAAACCACCACAACCTCCCACTCCACAGAAACACAGCCTTTTTTGAAGGCACTTAGCTTTCATAAGTCAAAAGAAATACTTAGCAAACTGTTCATTGCATTTTGTTAACATCGTCTTCTTCATAGGAGAAGCTACCCCAGGCCAATACATGTAAATGCTGACTGTCAATTTATAGAGAATTTTCATCTGTTATATCACTTTTCAATCATTTCTTAGCCTTTCTGTAACGTGATTGGCACTGCTTTAAAATATAGCTTAACTTTCCCAGAATTGAGTGAACTAAGCAACTGAAATCATGGGGGAGACAAGACACACAGCTGGGGCTGCTTGGCAAATAGAAGGAGACAAGCACTTTTTGCCCTACAGTCACTTAGAAGGAAAGAGGTAGGTTTAAAGGGGAAATTCAGAGAAATAATTTCAGCCAACCAGAACTAAGAGTCAAGAGATACAGATGTCTGTCTCTTCAGATCACAGCCACAACCACAGCCACGAACCAAGAGCAACCACAGCATGGAAATGGGGCTCAGGGACCGAGGGCCCCTCAACATGGGTCTCATTAACGGCCTCCCCCAACAATCACAATCACTGAGCTCAATCTGCAAGTGTGGGAAATGCACGAACACCCCCTCCTGGCTGTGGAACCCTAACTCAAGGTGGTCTCTATTCCTCCCTTCATCTGTTTCGCCTGTCTTTGTAAGTGCCTGTCACTGTTCCAGATAAAGGAAGCCGCCGTGGCGACAAAAAACCAGGAGACAGCTTTGCTGCTCTGGTTCTCCAAGCACATCGCGGCCACTGTGAGGCTGTACACAGACTGTCCACACTCTACCTCAGCACTAGCTCAAAAGGCACGACATTCGCGACAGAATGCCTCTCTTTTGATATTGCACCCAGGCATTTTTCATACTGCAAAACTTTTCCCATTCTTTATAAAGCTCCACAGTTCTTAAAGGTAACATATCTTTAAAATCAGAAGGAAGGATGTCTAGAGATGGGTTCAGAATGTAGCAGAGTCCAACTTGCCAAATTATTAGTAAGGTGATCACTACAGCCTATTACATGACTCTCAAGGAATACTACTACAGTACAAGATTAGAAATGACTCTAGAAATACCAGACGGATTTCTGAATTGAGTATCTGATGATACTGCCACATTTAGACAGAAACAACTATTTTAGCCCCCCCAAAATCACCAAACTTCCCTTTTAGAGAAGAAACTAGTAAAGGCTATGATAAAGCACCTATTCTGAGGCCGGACTTGGTCATCTTTATGTTCTGTGATGGAGAAAAAAAACTTGAGAAAAGTCTTAGGACTATAGGTCACCCTTGTGACCATTGCAGCTTTCCAGTTCACACCCTTTGTCACCTGATTTTTGGTCGAACACACCCTGGTTGGACCTACTCTCCCTAAGTGCCCTGGCAGTGGCACAGTGGCAGTGACTGCTCAGTTACTCAGGTCACGACATGCCAATGAAAGCAGAGTGATGGAACCAGAGTTAGGTGTAAGGTTCCTGAGGAGTTCTGTGCATAGATGTTGGTGATGGTAGTACAACAATGTGAAAGTACTTGGTATCACCGAACTGCACACTTAAAAATGGTTATGGTGGTAAACTATATTATCTGCATTTCACAATTAAAAAATGTTATTTTGCTCAACTATTCCCCAAATTCTGTTTTTTATATTCCTGCTACATATATGTATCTATACTATTTATGTGTGTATATACAGCATACTATATATGTGTATGTCTATATATTACACATATACTATATATGCTATGTATATATAACACGCACATATTTATACTACATGTGTATATATGTAGCACATGCATATTTATACTACATGTGTATATACATAGCATATATGCATGTGCATATACATACATACACATATAAAATCAATGTATAGCAAAAAAGAAAATGTGTCTCAGGAAAAACAAAAGGTACAGATTGATTACAATGACTATGGAGCACAGACCTAAGAAAAAACCTGGGCCCCTGAATGAAGCTGGTCTAGTTTTTCCTGTGTGAGAGGCTTCACTCGGGCCTGGGAGGTATCCCTCAGGGTCCAGTCTCCTTGTGCAGGGCCCCCGCCCCCCCAAGCCAAGCAGGCAGGCAGTCTGGAGAGGCTCTCACCAGTGAAGGCGCTGCGGCAGACGCACTGGTAGTCATTGGTGAGCTGGATGCAGTCCAGGCTGCCCTCAGAGCTGCAGGGGTTCGACAGGCACTCGTTGATGTCCCCCTCACACCGTTCCCCAGCAAAGCCAGGCAAGCAATGACAACTGTAGCCCCCAATCTTATCCACACACTGACCACCATTAAGGCAGTGGGGTCCCTTGGCACAGTCATCAATGTTTTCTTCACAAAGCAGGCCTGGAGGAGAGAGGAGAAATCAAGACTTGTGACAATTCTTGCAACACTGCTTCTAGTAAGGCAGAGCCACCCTTGCTGGCACTTCCAAAGTTAATCAGGTTCCACTGTGGGGGGACCTTCAGGTCGAGCAGGACAAAACACACTCTTGATCCAAGACAGCCCCTCATTTTCCTGGTGGCCAGTTACACCTGTTCTTCCACTCATGACACAGTCCCCACGAAGCAATGAGTATTATCTGTCTCACCCGAGAGATTAGGAAACTGGAACTCAAGAGACTTGCAATTTCTTGTTAATTTGTTCGTCTTGATTTAAAATATAAAACAGTTGAAAAGAGAATATAACAATGAATACACAGACTGCAATGTATGTAACATTCAGTAAGAACTGAAAACTAAGTTTTAAATGACTTTTAAAGTTTAATACCCACTGACTATATTTCTGTAAAATAATATATGTGTATTTATTTTTTATATTAAGAATAGAGGGAAAATATCCTGTTGAGAGTTCAAAGGTTATTTTATTTGAAACAGAATGAATTTAATGTTGACTATAGCTGCAAAAGAGCTATCTAGTATAAATATCTGTAAATACTTTTGGGGAAGAAACAAAAGAAATCAATGACTAGCCTAGAAATGATCCCAGGATCAACTAAAAAAATTACAAAAGAAAGGAAAATGGTTCTGTACTTTCTATCATGTGAATCTGTAGCATGCACTAATGTAAGCTGGACCATTTAAATCTAAGAAAAGACCTCATTTTCAATAGCAATGGCAAAAAATAAAATATCGAGGAATAACTGTAATAAGAAATGTACTACACCTATGTGAAAACTTTAAAATAGTCATGAAAGACACAAAAGGAGACAAATAAAGAGAAAGACACTGATTTGGTTAGGAACACTCCTCATCATAAAGATATCAGTTGTCTCTATATACATTTATAAATTTGATGTGACCCCAATAAATATAGCAATATGATTTTTAACAACCTGATTCTAAAGTTACATTGAAAAACAAACTATAACTGTAGCCTAGAAAACCCTGGAAAAGAAGATCCATAATAATTAAAACCTCTAGGGTAGTACTGGTAAATTAATAGAACAACAGAACAAAAACAAAAAAATATCCACAAAAACTCCCAAATGTGCAGGGGAACTCATAATTTGATAAAGGTGCCATCTCAAATCATTGTATATAAGGGATCAAATTTTCAGTAAATTGCGTTGAGACAAATCGGCAGCCATGGGGAGAAAGTGCTCCAGGATTCTAGGACTTGAAGAAAATATGGGAGAATTCCTTTATAATCTTAAAGTGTAGGTGTTGCTGACTAGGACTTAAAAATTCAGAAGCCATAAAAAAAGATTGATGACTTCAACCTAATTAAAATAAAAAACTCTGCATGAAAAAAATCACCATCAAGAAAATCAAAACATAAGAACCAATATATATGGAAAATATGTATACTCACATCCTGTATCACAGACAGCTAATCTTTGTCAAATATTAAGATCGATCACAGAATAGAAGAATACAGATACATAGAACAAGGAGAACCAAACGACACCACATGCATCCTCGCTGAGCAGTGTGCTCACGCACTGTAGTTCAGCCACCTCAACCAAAACTACAAATGCATATCTCATTCTCTAATCCAGAGATGCCATTTTTGAAATTTTATTTTATACATACACTTATGTACATATGAGATGACCCAAATTTCTATCACTAGGGCACTGGTTAGGCAAAATATGGCATGCCCATAAAAGGGAATTCTGCAGGAAAAAACAATTAAGGAAGTTCTATATTTTGATATGGAAACATCTCCAATGAAATGAAAAAAAAATCGACTGCAAAAGGCTGTCTAATATTCTGTCTTCATAGTAAATAGTGGGGGAAAAATTTCTTTGTATTTGGTTTCTACATAAATAATGAAATTCTGAAGGTCGGTACACGTCTCCTCCTAAGAAACAATACTCTAAGCTTCTTCCGGGAGGCAGGGGCCAGAGCAGAATGATGGCTCCATGTTTCACAGTCTAAAGTCACAACCCCTAGCAGGCTTTACTGCAAGGCTCAGTTATAGCCTAAGCCATCAGGCTCCTCCCTGGGCTTATGAAAAGAGGCAAATGTTTTCATCCATTCATTTCCCTACCTTAGAGAGGCAAGACTTGGCAAATTTTAAGAAATACATAAACTGGTAAATGTGAATTATTTATTCGAGAGGCCACTGGGTATTTTTCCTTGAAGGTCCAAGAAATCTTGCTAACCAGGCTAGTTCTGTTGCAACATTATATCATTTCCATTTTCTGTGTTTCAGGAAATATTAGATGTCAACAAGACCCAGACAGCACTAACAGCATGAGTCAGAACTTCAGAGCCAGGCAAGAGAGATGAGAGAATGAATGGCTGAATTGCGAGAATTCAGAACTAAATGTTTACTTAAAAATAAAACCCTCAATGCTAAAATTGGATTTACAACTTAGACAATGCCCTGGATAGAGAAAAGGTAAGGCTGATTTCATACCCCGAGTGCCTGGAGGGCAGGAGCACTTGAAATGGTTCACCAGGTCAATACAGGTGCCTCCATTCTGGCATGGCTGATTCTGGCACTCATCCACTTCATACTCGCAATTGACACCCTGGTATCCTGGGACACACTGCCAGGAGCAAACAAAAAGGACAAGAAATATTGGACCATCATTGGAAACAGACTATGAAAACAAAGGAGATCTAGAGCATTACCATGACCCTCTGCCCACCATGCTCCACCCAGCTCTGGTCTGTCTCTCTGGCATCATCGCACTCCCAATAATCCTCCTGTGCAGGGCTGACTGCAGCTTACCAGCTGTTACCTACACCAGCTTGAAGAGCTACTTTAAAGGAAGGCAAGGACTGAATATCAAGGGATATTTCAGATACGACCCCTGTGCAAAACTTCGGTCCCTCCCCTGCGCAGGTTGCTATCTTTAAAATATGTATTCCTTTGTGTATGATGAGGATGTCTGTGTGGATGGTAGTAAAGACACTGCATTTACTCATCTCCAAGTTGAGCAAACTACATGTATGTGTGAGAGACTGGCTGAGATAGAGGTGAAGGCAAGGGAGGTAGGCCAGCAAGCCAGAGTAAATTTGGTGTTTGAGGGATTTCAGGGCTGATCAAGAAAAAAGATATTGACCATGAGGTGGCTTTATTTGAGCAATGCTGTGACGGCTGTCAATGTGGGGGAAGTCCCTTGTAGTAGGCATTCGTCCCTTAGAGAAAGGAGGATAAGGAGAGGAGGGCAAGTGAGCTTCAAGGGAAGGGGCAATGGAGGGGCCCAGGTGTTCTATGATGTCACTCAGCAGCCAGGTTGGAGCCTCTAGGTCAGAGAGCTGTGAAGGGCAGCAGTGGCTTGGGGTCTTTACATTCTGGGGCTTATTTCAGCTGTGTCTAGCAGATACTGGGTGCTGTTTTGCAGAACATATAAAGCAGGCAGGCTCAAAATAGCTAAAACTCTGCTTATTATAGCTGTGTTTAAAACATATGGATGTGTACAATTTTGAGTTTAGCACTGTTGACTTTTGAGCTAACAGGTCACAGGCTACTATGAAGAAATAACCTACAGGCAAATATACATACGTCACCTTTGGTTCATTTCTGAGAGGTAGAGAAGCAAAGCTTTTCTCAGTGTTGCTTGGTGGCCTGAACTGGTATCAAATTCATATCTCTGGTATTGTGTTAACATCTTCCTGAAACCATTATCAGCCCAGATATTAAGAAGACAGTAACATGTCCCTTAAAAGACACACACTTCCTCAACTATACACATGCAACAATCAGTATAGTGCTGCACAGAACAGGCTGAGCAAATTTTTTGAAGAATTACTAGTTGGTTGATCAATGACTATACAAAGATGGCATGGGTCAAAGGGACACTCTTTGAAGTAGCTTCTATCTCACCTGCTACTCAGGGAAATGCCAGGGGCTCTGGTGAAATGCACTCTTGTAGTGAATAATGGCTCTGAATCCTGGAGGCAACCCTTGGAAGTGACGTGGTTCCAGAACTTTATGAAAATATCTTACTAGAGCTATGTTAACTTACTGCACAGGGGACTGAAAGAACCAGCAATGAGTAAATACCATAATGGTGATTGGTTAAAAAGAACTGTATAAATTTGTAAAAATAAAACGTGAGCAGCTAAAGTCATTATCTTAGTGTTTACAATAACTGCACCATCTTCTGGAAAATCTCCGATGTGCACAGCTTATCTTACCTCACATCTGTATCCACCAATGAAGTCATGGCAGGTGGCTCCATGCTGGCAGGGATTGGACGAACACTCGTTGAGCTGCTCCTCACAGTAGCTCCCCGTATAGCCCAAGGGGCACTGGCAGCGATGCGAGTTGCCAGCATTGATACAGATGCCTGAATGCTGGCACAAGCGGTCAGTGGGCAATCCTGGGAAACCCCGTGGAGGAACAGACATCACAGAAGAGCACATGACATGTCAGGTTCAGACCAACTAATGAGTAAACTAATCAGGCCAGTTGACAAATTGAATTTTATTCTTGTCTAATTCATGATACTTAATACTAGATATGTATTGAAAATAAACAAGCCCAGAAAGTGAAATATGCCTTCATTTCATTTAAAATACACTTCTTATTCTTATTGTAGTTGATATACAATATCATATCAATTTTAGGTGTACAAATCATAATAATTCAACATCATAATAATTCAACATTTATACAACCTATGAAGTGATCACAAGTAACCATCTGTCACCATACAAAGTTTTTATGATATTATTGACTATATTCCCTTTGCTGTACATTACATCCCCAGGACATTTATTTTATACCTGGAGGTTTGCACCCCTTAATCCCCTTCATATTTTTAACCCATCTCCCCACTCCCTCCCCTATGGCAACCAACAGTTTGTTCTCTGCATCTATGAGCCCATTTCTGTTTTGTTTTGTTTTTCAGATTTCGCATATAAATGAGACCATACAATATTTGCCTTTCTCTGACTTATTTCACTTAGCGTAATACCCTCTAGATATCTATGTTGTCACAAATGGCAAGATTTCACTCTTTTTTATGGTTGAGTAATACTTCCTTGTACAAATGTATACCACATCTTCTTTATCTATTCATGTATGATGGAATATGCAATGGGAAAAAGACAGTTTCTTCAATAAATGATGTTGGGAAAACTGACCGGGTACATGAAAAAAATGAAACTCTACTGCTTCCTTACACCGTATACAAAAATAAACTCAAACTGGATTAGAGACTTAAGTGTAAACCTGACCATAAAACTCTTAGAAATAAACATAGACAGTAAACTCATTGACATCAGTCCTAACAATATATTCTTTTATGTGTTTCCTCTCGCAAGGGCAACAAAAGCAAAAATGAACAAGTGGTACTACATCAAACTTAAATGCTCTTGCATAGCAAAGGAAGCCGTTAACAGAGTGAAAAGACAACCCACTGAATGAAAGAAGATATTTGCAAATCATTATTTGATAAGGGATTAATATCCAAAATATATAAAGACTCATAACATCAAAAACAACCAAAACCAGCTTGATTTTTAAAATGGGAAGAGGACTTGAACAGACATTTCTTCAAAGAAGATGCAGAGATGGCCATGAGACATATGAGAAGATGATCAACATCACTAATCATAAGGAAAATGCTAATCAAAATCACAATGAGATACCACCTCACACCCATTAGAATGGCTATTACCAAAAACTCAATACGTAACAAGTGTTGGCGAGGATGTGGAGAAAAGGGGACCATTGTGCCCTATTGGTAGGATTGTAAACTGGTGCTGCCACTACGGGAAACAGTTTGGAGGTTCCTCAAAAAATACAAAATAGAACTACCGTATGACCCAGCAATTCCACTTCTGGGTATTTATCCAAAGAAAATAAAAACACTAATTTGAAAAGATATATGTACCCTTATGTTCATCACAGAATTATTTACAACAGCCAAGATAAGAAAGCAACCTAAGTGTCCATTGGTTGATGAACAGATAAAAAAGAAGAGGCATACAAATACATTTTTATGGACTTTCTAAACCTGTGCTTCTCTGCCCTTTTACCTCCTGTCTCAGACCCTTTTGCCAGAACCTTGCCCACCGGTAATGTCTGCCCTTCCTTCTCACCCCACAGTAATGACATCTACCCTAAGATGACACAGGCCAGTCAGTACTGCAGGGAATGATCCTGGAGCCTGAGAAGGCCTAACTTACCTCTTTGGGAGGCCGCCACCTCACAGGATACATTAGGCACATCACAGTAAGCACCCGTCCATCCGGATGGACACAGGCACCAGGACTCTGTTTCTTCCTGAACGCAAGTACCTTTGTTTTTACATGGAGACCGACTACAGAGATTCACCAGAGTCTGAAAGAGGGGCATTTACACATGTCAACATCCACACATCCACATACGAGAAATGAAGAAAATAAGTTATACTGCATTTTAAGAAATCAAAGAAAAGCACACTACCTTTTTAAAGCCCTCACCTCAGCCTTAACCTAGATCCGGTGCTCCCAAGTGATCTAATCACTTTATATAGTCTAATTCCTATTAGCTCTGCTATTTAAAAAGTCCTTAACAGAGAAATTTAAGAATTTGAGGGAGCCCAATAGGTTAAAGTTATTCCCTATATCATGCTTATGTCTCAATAGGTGGCCATCCACAGGCCTGGAAAGCAGAAGAGTCAAAGCTGTCGGTCAGCTAACCAACTCCCTGTGCTAATCCTGTGTGAGAAATCCACATGGGTCCTGAGCAAATCTGTGGTGAAGATGACGAAAAGAACTTAAAGCCCATTAATAAACCTAAAAACCATCAAACAGAATATTTTGAGGGGAGAAAAGCAGGCTTATGAAACACATGAGGCAAAGAGTCCAAGCAGACTGGTGCTTTTCTCCAGTTTCCACGTTCAGGGTGGAGTGGGGGAGGCTTGGCCTCTGGGGAAAGGAAGGCAAATTCACAACACAGACTGTGAAAGACGTGGCCGTCGGGGAAAGGACAAAATGCTCCACCAGCATTTACAATTTCACACCAGGAGAATAAGCAGAAGGAATGTCCTCCTGTTGCACAGAATTGACAACAAGCTGTTTAATGTGCAGAGCTGGTAATATCTGCATGTTTGATATAGACAAAGCCTTACTGAAGTGCTACTATAAGGCTACTTTAACCGGTAAAATGGCATAAAATTAGATATACTGTTTGGCGTGCAACCTTAAAAGAGTTACTTTGTTTTCTGCCTTTTACTATCATCCCAGCCCGCCCCCCAATAATTAAAATTTTAAAAGACTGGGAAAAATAAAAAATAAGAGAACTGTAAAAAAAATTAAAATAAATAAATTCTGTTGTACTTGGAAAAAGAAAAGAGTTACTTTGTCCCTCTGGGACTTCCATAAAATGAAAGGCTAAACTAGTTGATTCTGAGGGGTCCTTCCAACCTAAGAGTCTACAGAAATGTATATTTATATATTTAACTTTAAATGATATGTGAATAGCTTGGTTTTGAGAATGATACAACATTGTAAGAAATGGTACTTATTATCCCATTAGATATTATACCTGATTTTCAAAAATTTAATTTTCATGTTTTTTCCCTTTCTGTATTTCCAATGTAAATAATATCTATGTGCTTATTTCCTACATGTATTTTTCTGTGGTTCTCAGCCTGTTAACAACAATCTTACATTTGTTAATCTGCATAATCTTGCCAGTTGTCACTATTTTGGAATCTACTAGCTATTAAAAAGTTAACTTGATTTATCTCAGGGACATCCCTAAGACCTGGAATTTTCTCTTTTAGGAGGGGCTTATTCTGCCTAGAAAAGAAGCAGGTATAATACTTTGTTCCTCTGAGGAAGCAGAATGAGTGGTATGGAATTTAATTACCTGACAGTTTTTCCCAGTGTAGCCCCAGGGGCAGGTGCAGCGGTAGGAACCCAGGCCATCAACGCATACTCCTTTATTCCGGCAGGGGTGAGAATTGCATTCATTAATCTCATGGAGGCAGAATGGGCCAGTGAAGCCCACGGGGCATAAGCAAGAGAAGGAGTTAATCCCGTCGACACATGTGCCACCATTGAAACAGGAGCTAAGAAGCAAATGGAGAGCACCGTCAACTATGCAATCTGGTCCTCTGACTTGCTGTTTAAAAAGCAAGGTTCCTGAAATCTAGGATGTTATAGAGGCAAATACTCTTGAGCATCCCAAATTCCTACAGCCAGTACATTTTACCTTTTCCCAAACTAGACTGGTTGCCAATCATTCTTGAGTCCCAGCTTCCTTTCCAAAACCAAGAAGCTTAGAGAAGTATTTAAAAGGCTGAGTTAATGACAGATTCCCAGAGAAAGTTAACTTTCCAGATTTTACCCAGTCCTTCCACATATATCATATTTCCTCTTATCCTCAAGTCAATTTAATTTATAAGAAAAGCACTAAAAAGGTAGCTCTTGACTATAGATTTCTTTATGAAAGAGAAACACAACAAATTTGTTGATGACAATAACAAAGAAACAGACCTTCCAGAAATTACTTAAACAATGATGAAAAATCTGCAAATAGAAAATTTTTAATTGTTGACTACTAGGAACAAGAGACAAAAAAAGAAAAATTTTCTTTTGTTCAGAATTACATGTGTATCTCTTTCTGTTCCCTAAGTAAGAAATAAATGGTGATCCATCCCACCAAGCTTGTCAGTCCCTGACCTTTGACCTGCTAATTCCATGTCTATGAGGAATCAGGACTGACCAACAGAAGATGATTATAGACTGGGACCCAGGTGGATACCTTATTTCTGCCCCACAATCCCAGTTATTGTGCTCCTTCTTCCCCATAGGACACTGGGACCCAAGTGCATAGGGCTGCTCACCTCTCAGTGCACTCGTCGATGTTGTTCTCACAGTGGACTCCTTCATATCCTGCCTGGCACTTGCAAGTATAACTGTTCACATAGTCAGAGCATGTCCCTCCATTCTTACAGGGTTCGCTCAGACACTCGTTCATGTCTGTCTGACACTTATCCCCAGTGAAGCCAGGAAGGCACAGGCAGAAGAAAGCATTCACTCCATCTACACAGGAACCTCCGTTCTGGCAAGGATCTAAATCATTAGAAAGAAGAATTAGAGCTCTGAACTGCATCAGCAGTTTAATCTTAGACTCACAAAGGTCAACTGAGTCACACTAAGCAGTAACAATTCTGACTTTTCTATACTTGTACTTTTCCTTTTCTCTTCGTCCTGACTCCTCCACTTTTGAAAATGGATGCAATAACACTTAGCTAGTTGATAACTGGAATGAACTTCACATATACCACTAAGAGTTTTGCAAAATTAATAGTCATAAAATGTGCATTCATCCCTACACGTGCCTTCAACACACAGAACCTCAGAAAGTCAATAAAGATTTTTAAAAGTGGTACATGGCGGTAGAGTGGGTGGGACAGGACAGAAGAGATAGTAATCAGCCTCCCATGCTGACCCACTTTCTTTCCTTCCTTTTCCCTCCCTTTTCCCTCCCTTCCTGCCATTCACCCTGCCTTCCTTTCTTCTCTGTTTTTATTTTTGAGGTCTAGGTAGAATTAGGAAACAAAGGTGATTTTGGGTTTAAATATCACAGAACACCTTACACTCACACCAGTTCATCAATAAACTTTGAGCTACCACCATGGCACCATCCTCTGAATTTTGATAGTGTTCAAATTAGAACAAGAAAAACAAGATGTAGGCCCTGCTCTTAATGACCTTAAAATATAATTGCAAAGGCAGATTATAAACATAAAAAGAAAATTAAATACCTAATGGGTAATGGAGCCGCTATTTTATAAGAGAAATATTTAATATGACTTATTCATCTATTAGGCTACTTTCATTCTGAGGCTCATCTGTAATCTCTACTAGAGCAATTGTAAAAATTGTATTATCACTTCTAATTCACAGTACACAGCTACTATAATTTCCATAGCACCATTTAGAAAACTCATCATAATTTAATGAATTATTTTAAACTAAATATAAACATTACCAGTCCTACTTCAAATAAGAAAAAACTTTAAATAATGAAAAATTTGACTGAGATACTACGTACAAAGGAATCCAAATAGTTTAATGCCACTCCCTTAAATTTCTCCATCAATTATACCTACAATGTACTAAATTGCAATAATGCAAAAAAAATAAATTAAACTGCATACAGATTTCAAGATAAATAAAGGATATAGTGGTTGTATTTAAAAGTAACATGATTATTTCTATTTTAAAAATCCTAGAAATCTAAATTAAACTTGTAGCTAAACTAATCTAGAATAGTGAATTTAGCAAAAATAGAAAATAAAATTAGTCTTTAAAACCTTTAAAACCCACACTAACTACAAAAATTAACTCAAAATAGACCACTGATCTAAAGGTCAGTGCTAGAAGTATGAAACTTTCAGAATAAATCAAAGAAGATAAAAAATCAGTGACCTAAGGTTAGATAAGATTTATTAAACATGATACAAGAAAAATGAGCTATAATAGAAAATTATAGGTATATTGAATTTTATCTAAAGAAAACTCTCCCTCTTCAAAAAAGTCAAACAAAAGCTACAAATTGGCAGAAAATAATTGTAATGTAAATATATGACAGAATATTTACCTAGGACATAAAGAACTCTTTTTTAAAAAATTTTTGTTCAAGGACAGTTTTCTGTCTTTTACTCCCATCCCAGCCCACCCCGCCCCGTGCGCCCCACCTCCCTCCCATTTCCACCCCCCTTAGTTATTGTCCCTGTGTCCTTTATACTTGTTCCTGTGAATCCTTCCCCCTTTTCCCCTGAAATTCCCTCCCCTCTCCCCTCTGGTCCCTGTCAGCCTGTTTTCTATTTCAGTGTCTTTGGTTATATTTTGCTTGCTTGTTTGTTTTATTGTTTAGGTTCCTGTTAAAGGTGAGATCATATGATATTTGTCTTTCACCGCCTGGCTTATTTCACTCGGCATAATGCTTTCCAGTTTCATCCATGCTGTTGCAAAGGTTAGGAGCTCCTTCTTTCTTTCTGCTGCATAGAATTCTATTGTGTAAATGTACCATAGTTTTTTGATCCATTCATTTACTGCTGGGCACCTAGGTTGCTTCCAGCTCTTGGGTATAGTAAATTGTGTTGCTATGAACATTGGGGTGCATAGGTTCTTTTGGATTGGTGTTTCAGGGTTCTTAGGATATAATCCTAGCAGTGGAATTGCTGGGTCAAAAGGCAGATTCATTTTTAGTTTTCTTAGAAGTTTCCATACTGTTTTCCATAATGGTTGTACCAGTCTGCAATCCCACCAATAGTAAACTAGGTTCCCCCTTTCCCCACAACCTCTCCAACATTTGTTGTTTATTGCTTTGTTTATGGTGGCCATTCTGACTGGTATAAAGTGGTATCTCATTATGGTTTTAATTTGCATCTCTCTGATAGCTAGTGACACTGAGCATCTCTTTATGTGTCTCTGGATCCTCTGTATGTCCTCCTTAGAGAAGTGTCTGTTCAAGTCCTTTGCCCACTTTTTAATTGGATTGCTTGTCTTCTCATAAAGAACTCTTTCAATTCAGTAATAAGACAATCAATTTTTCAATTGGGCAGAAGATTTGAATAGACACCACACTAATTAAGATATACAGCTGGCTAATAAGCACATGAAAGATATTCAACATTAATAAATAGAACAATGCAAGTTAAAACCACTGTGAGATACTATAGTGCGGCCACTAGAATAGCTAAAATTAAAATGAGTAATCATATCGAGTGCTCATGAGGATGTGATTTAACTGGAACTCTCATTCTCATACAATGCTTCTAAGAATACAAGAATGGTACAACTACTTTGGAAAATATTTTGGCCATTTTGAAAAAAGTTAAATATATACCTACTACATAATTCAATTATTTATCTGTCATTTAGACATTTACTCAAGAGAAATAAAATCACATGTCCACACATATGCTTTCATAGCAGCCTAATTTTAATACCCCGAAACTGTAAAAAAGCCAGATATCTTACTAGTGAGTTGTAGTATCTCCAAACAATGGAATACTACTCAGCAATTAAACTGAATGAGTTATTAATACACGCAACATGGATGAGTCTCAAATAATATGCTGAATGAGAGAAGTCACATTCCCTCTCCCTAAGAAAGAGTTTGTATTATATGATTACATTTATATGAAAGTGTAGCTCTGGCTGCTGTGGCTCAGTGGATTGAGCGCCAGCCTGTGAACTGTGGGGTTGCCGGTTTGATTCCCAGTCAGGGCACATGCCTGGACTGTGGGCCAGGTCCCCAGTAAGGAGCATGAGAGGGGCAAAGACACAGTGATGTTTCCCTCTCTCCCTCCTTTCCCTTCTCTCTAAAGGTCAATAAATAAAATCTTTTCAAAAAAGTGTAAAGAATCCAAACAAATCTCTAATGACAGATGTGGACTGCTGATTGCCTGACACAGGGAAATGGAAAGAAGGGTTACATGACAAGAGACAAGAATACTTTTAGGAGGATGGATATGTTCATTAGCTTGAGTGACAGTTCCAGTTGCCATGTATCAAAACCCACTGAACTATACATTTAAAATATCGGCAGTATATTAAATGTTAATTATACCTCAATAATCAGCTTTAAAAAAAAGAGCTATCATATCACTGTCCCCTAATTGTCAATGTAAATCAGTAAGGAAATGATTAAAACAGAGTCCATTGTCTTAACTCCTAAAGCTACTAGCTTCAGAAAGAAGATTGTAAAAATACTAATATTAGAAACACATGAAAACTATTGGGGTGGCCAGTCTTAGCATGGAGAGGCAGTTGCCTCCAGTCTGGGCCCCTGTGTGCTCTTCTGTCCCCAGGGGCACAGAAGAACTGACTGGCATACTCACTTGCGAGGCAGTCATCGATGTCCTCCTCACAGTCCATGCCACTGAAGCCTGGAGGACACTCGCACATGTAGCTGCCCTGGGTGTTATGGCAGAGACCATGGTTCATGCAGGGCTTAGAGACACACTCATCAATGTCAATTGTACATCGCTGACCTAGAAACACAGGGACAATGAATAGTCGTCTTGGAAAGCTCACTCCCACAGAAACTTATGTGGTGCCTGAGCTGCAGCAGGGGTAGATGGGGCTACTCCAGGGCATACTGGTTAGTCTGCTGCTTTGGGAAGTCCCTTTAGGCTTCTGTGCTCCCGGCAAGTTGCTGCCCATGTACTAAAATTCCCTGTAGGACATTATGGTTTCAGACTCAGGCTGGAGTCTTCCAGCCACTGGGGTACCCCAGACATGCAAAACACAAAGGTTTTCTGAGCCACTGCGGTTCGCAGCTCCTCTACAAGGCCTGTGTTAGTGACAAACACCAGGCCTTCCCATGCATTCTGATGGCCTGACCACTTTACAAAGACTTTTGGTTTCTCCACTCCCATGTTGTTACCTTGCCAGCCAGGAGCACACAGGCAGGTGTAACTCTCAAAATTTGGTGCCTCTTTGCAAACGGCAGCATTCTCACAAGGATTTGGGGAACAGGGAGCCAATACAGTCTGACAGTTCTTGCCTACAAAGCAAATGACAGGGTTTATAACAGAAAATTAGCTAAAGAAACTACAATTTCCCCAAATTCCAAACCAAAGGATGCTCTCCAAATGCAAGTCTAAAGTAGTGGTTAAGAGCTTTGCAATCTGAGAGTCTTATGGTCCTTTGAGTCTTGGCTCTGACTTGATTACTAAATGTGTGTGGCCTCAGGCAAGTTATTTACATTCTCTGAGCCTTCCACATAAGTAAAATGGAAATAAGGATGGTACCTAATAGAAGCTTTTTGAGGATTAAATGAAAAAATGCTTGCAAAGTCCTTATTGGCATAGAGCCTGGCACACAGGGTGAGTACTTAACAACTGGTGGGCTGCTGTCATCTTCCCATTAGTATCATGAGCGGTTACAAGCACTTGGACACCTACATCAATCAGGAGCAATGGTTTCTGCATCTCCAAAGCTAAGATTCGGCTACTCAGAGGCTTTGCCACACAGATCTCTCTTCATGTGAGCAGAGAAGCAACAATATGGCCTCCTATTTCTCACAGGTCTCTGCTGGCCTGTTCCCGAAGGCAATGAGGTTGACCAGAAGGCCATCAAAGGTGGGACATAGTAAAGTAACTCTGATGCCTAGTAACAAGTCTCCTTATACTGACACCAGCAACATGACATAATTTTTTGCCCATCAGTATTTTTTGCCTTAGTGTGCTGAAGATAAGCTTCCAGAAAAAAAATGATGCTCTTATTAAAAGGGAGATGGAGTTGTTTTTAAACTCAGATTATGACTAACTTGATTTAAAATTTTATCATAAAATTTTGTATTCAGAAAGAAAAAAAATAACCACAAATTTTTGCCCATCCCCAACCAGCTTTTAATGTGTCTGGTCACAACAGTGGCTCACAAGGGGAAGCAATGTTGCTCAGTTCCCTTTATGCTGGCCAAAGTCAATGACATGTAGAACCCTTAGCTATCAGCACTGAAATTTTACCTGCCATAGGCTTTCAGTCTAATATAATTTCTCAAAGATCACACATGGTAAATTCTTTTATTGATATCCTAATCTGAAGAAAACAACAGCTAGCACATTGTCAAATATTCTCATAATATCTGAACAGCAAGAAGATAAAATATGCAATTTCAAGATGAACTGTACACATAAGTCATACTCAGGTAAGTTTATAATGTGGCTGAGTACAGTGACAACTGTTTACATTTCCCTGCAGCCGTCAATTCTCAGTCTTTGTGATCCTCTCACTACCAATAGGTGTTGTCAGCACTGTCGCTACAAAATGACATGATATAGACTGTCTTTGGGGATAGCTATGGATTTCCAGTAACTTTGATTTGATCAACCAAGCTGGCTAAATGCCATTTCCTTACAAGAATATTTCTTCCAAAGTGGGGCAAAGGGAACAATGCAGTATCAAGTCTTTCAGGTCACAGAGTCATGCTCGTGGCCACTTTGCCACTCTTCACTGCTTAGAGTTACTAGTAATGGCTACTACGAACAGCCCAAGACTCTGAGGTAGTGAGGATCTGGCCATGCTCAGAACTGCATGCTGCACACTGGAGAACCATGCAGAGCTACCATCCATGTTTCCATCTGTTCCCCAGAAATGAAGACAATGGATGATGAAGAGGTAAAGAAGCCACACAAATACAACCAATCACAAGATGGCAGTAACGTAACAGGAAAACACAAAGCAGAAATGTCCAAGCACACTTCTAAAATACCACCTGAACCAACAAACACCTGGAATGAAATGAAGTCACACCCATGTCTTCTACTTGTGGTCGCCATCCAAGGCAATACCCCTCTGAATGGGACGAAGACGTACTGAATGTGAGGAGGAGAGGAGCAGTTAAGAGGACAAACTGGATTCAGAGACTTGGGGGCAAATCCTAGACCTATCACCTATCTGTGACCTTCAGCAAGTAACCTCTTTTTGCCTCAGCTTCTTCATGTCTAAAATGGTGACGGGTAGAAAAGAGAAAGAAAAAAACCAGAAAATGGTGACAGGAACTTATATTTGCAGAATTATTGTAAGCACTAAAGTAAATAACCAGAAGTACATAAGTGTCTGGCACAGAGTAAATCAGCAGTAAGTGGTGCTTGTGTTATTGCAACTAAGACTAAGAGAAGAGGTCATGGAGACACTGGGTCCATGCACATAATCTGAGGTCAGTTCCGACCCCAGATGGTGAAAAACATTCAAACCCTAAAGTGCAAGGAAGGCAAATGAGTCTCCTCAGTACTTGCATCTAGGGAGGCCACAGTGTTTCCTCAGAGCTCAAGATCCAGTCAGTGGGGGCAGGACGGGCGACCGGGGTGAGTCCTCAGAGCAGCATCACTGCCCCACAGATCCTGTCTCTGAGACTCAGAGGCTGGGAATGACGATGTGAGACCCAGCACCCCCGCTGTCCCTACACCTGCAGGGCTCACCTGTGTACGGCAACACACAGCGGCAAGTGTAGCCACTTATGTCATCAAAGCAGGTTCCTTGGTTCAGGCACGGATTTGAGGCACATTCATTGATATTCACCTGACAGTTAGAGCCTGTAGACCGAATGGGGAAAAACCAAGAGCAGTGAAACTTTTTGTTAGCCTCCTCATTATCTGAATTACTAATTCTCTCAGTGATAAAAACTAAACAGCTCAGAAACTGCATTAATTTCTTCAGACCACTGGAACACCTGTTCATTCATTTCAGTGCTAAGTCCTTGACATACAGTGAGTCAGTAAAAGACGGTGCTCGATTAAAAAGATAAATAGGGGAACAGTATATTCTAACAGCCTGAAAGTTTGATGCACCTCTGAATGCAGCGCAAGTCACTTCTCAGCATTGGACCAAGAAGTTCACTAAGAGCAAAAATCTGTTGTCGTATCTAAATACAGGGTCCGGCAGACGTAACACCTACTTGGTGTGCTTGGGAGGGTAATACTATGGGTGTATTAATTTATAGTTTTGGTTTGAACACTTCACCTAAAATATCATATGGTGTGCTTGAGTGTGACACTGTTATGTTACAGAATTACATGCTTATGATTTTATAATAAAACATTTTGTAATATGAAAAGGGGTGTTATTTGTGCCATAAGTTTTCTGTATCCAAAGTGTCTGGTCGAGGCTTAAAAAGAGTGTATGCGTTATCAAGGGATAACTTTTTTTTAAGAGAAACAGGGGAAAGGAGAGAGAAAGAGAGAGAAAGATCAAGGTGTGGTTGCCTCTCATATGCCCCCAACTAGGGACCTGGCCCACAACCCAGGCATGTACCCTGACTGGGAATCAAACCAGCAACCCTCTGGTTCACAGGCTGGCACTCAATCCACTGAGCCACACCAGCCAGGGCTAAGGGATACATTCTTAAATACAATAATCAAAGCCTCTGAGTTATGCCCCCTCTTTCATATGCACAGTCTCTACCCTCAATGTGGTAGTATTTCCTGAAGTCACAAAGTTGTCTCCCCTGATCCAAGATATAAAATCTATTCCTATTATGAAAAAAAGAAAAGTAAAAAGCACTAATGAGGATCGGGCAGTACCCAACTATCACACACCTTTGGCTCTTCAGTAAGGCCTGGCACAAAGCCTTAAAACAGAGGAACTAGAGTACCATAAAAATGATGATCTGGGATTACAGTACCATAAAAATGATGATCTGGGATTACGGAGGGCTGGCTATGCAACAGCCATACAAATACGGATTGTGTATTTTGAAGTTTATTTAGTTCATTGATCAGCATGTGTCAGTAACATAAAGAAATAAAAGTGCTTTTAAATCTATTCATTTCTATGCTAATGTAATGTAATGTATCAGTAAATTAATAACATATGGTTCAGAAAATTTTTCAAGCAATCAAATAAAGTGACTCTGAGACATACTGATGATTCACAGTAGCCTACTAACTTTTTGAGAGGGGAATTCAATGACTAAGTACATAGAACAGTTCAAATAAAAATGATTTACCCACAGATTTCTCTCTCATGAGTTTCCAAGAAAAAAACTGATGGCAGAGATATCACAGTGACAACTCAAAAATTATTTTACACAATATCCCTCTATTATGCATTTTTCCAGAAGGCCATATAGGGAACTATGTATCTAAGAATATCTCACCATGCAAGAGAATTTGTGGGAAGATTTTGAACACATGAATCCTTCCATGATATTACTGCAATCAAAATTATAGTTAGATAATATTTTCATTCTACTACCAATATCTCCCTTGAATTGTCATAGAATCAAACCTGCACCAAGAAGCTTACAATTAGAAACGTGTCCAAAGTTGTGTAAATGGAGTCCTAGCTGCTCATCTTTAACAGTACTGTTTCAATAGCTTACCTCTCTGCTAGGCAGAAAGGAGAATCTATAATCTATTTACATTTTTATCCCCCATTGCCTTATAAATATTTGGTGGTCAAATTATGTTTGCCACATTAATGGACAAAAAAAAAGGCAGGAAAGAAAGAAGTGAGCCAAGAGGTACACAACCACAAAAGGGCTGAGCAGGGAGATGGAAATATGCACTTATGCCTTCACCTTTAAAGCCCTTCTTGCAAGTACACCTGTATCCATTCACCAGATTGTCACAAGTTCCTCCATTCTGGCATGGACTAGAAAGACATTCATTTTTGTCCACTTCGCAGTTGGTGCCAACCCAGCCTGCATCACAGAGGCACTTGTATCTGAAAAAAGAGAATTATTCACTGTGGGAGATGAAGGTACCACTGAGTCAGAGTTGAATACAGGACTTGGTGAAGACATGAGACACAGAGGAGATGAAGGTAGGCTAATCTCATTTAGGGACCTATATATGGACCACCATGGACATGCTGTGAAGCACGTGGGCCCGTCTGGAGTAAATGACCTTCCTGGTGCTTCCCTACTTCACGAAGATGCTAGAGAAATTAATAAATTATACTGAGCTTTCATACATAAACAGTGGTTGATACAACATATTGGACCAATCTGAAAGATACACTAACATGGATAAACCTGCATGGTTTTTCTTATATATAAAACTAAAGTAAAGCAAGCATTAAGATAATTTATTTCTGAGGCAAAACAGACACCCAGGAAGTAGATTAGTATCAGAGACTCTAAGCCACTCTGAAGATCTGGAATGTCTGACTTATGAGATATGCTTTGTTCTGAAACCCCACCCCAGAAAGCACTTAGGATACTGAGTAGGAAAAGGACCAAAAATGGGGACATAGACATTGCTCACAATTTTAACATTATTAGCACTTACTATGTGGTCTGGAGATTCTTAGGAAAAATGTGGATGGGTTGGGATGCTCTGGAGGCTGCCCTACTCAGAAGCAGGAATACTGAGTAAATTCATCTCGGAAATGACTTGATTTCCCATCCTCCTCTAAACACACTCTTAATTCTTTCACCTTTTGTGAGTATGGCCCTGGCAATACTCACCAAAGGTGAAAGCATAGCAAGCATAGCAAGCATAGCAAGAGGGCAGGACTATCTCATGGAATTTAATGTCACACTCCATGATTCTAGAAAATTATCTACCAACACATCATATAACTCTATGGGGCTTACAAAATACAAACATTTTGTCAGGGCCATGTCTAAAGTTAGCGGAGGCCAACTCTACTTCAAGGCACACAGTGGTAATGCATTAGAACAGAGTTGAGCTTTTTCAAACAGAAAAAAATCTGAGAGAACATCCTGCAAAAGTTAATCTTGCAATAGGTGTTCAATGCACAACTACTAAAGGCTCACAAAACAACCCTGAACTCCTCCCAGGTGCTGACTACCCACATGAAGAAGACTTTCCTCATTCTCTACCAGCTCAGTGATGGAAGGTAAGGAAAAGGGCACTTTGGAAGACTATGATACAGACTCCCAAACTCTTCAGCCAAATCACAGCTCAAGTCATTGACTGACTTCTGCAGGGTATGGCCAGAACTTAACCCTCACTAGCTTGACACACGTCAGTAAGAAACTATTATTACACGGCAGCTACTCACCCTCTGAGGCCCCCAGTACAGTTCCCGTGGATGCAGGGATTGCTCAGGCACTCGTTCACCTGTGAGTAGCAGCTGGGGTGATGGGGTCCCTCAGGGCATATACAGCGGAAACCATTCACATCATTGATGCATGTTGCACCCTTGCGACAGGGATTGGAGGCACACTCATCGATGTCAATGTTACATCTCTGCCCTGCAGAGAAGGGAAACAGTCTTTGTCAAATCCAAAATGCTTAGGGAATAGATACAGAACTGAGATATACTGTGTTGATGCCTTCATCACTACAGACATCAAATGGCACTTACTTAAGAAATAAGACACCCCAAAGCACTTAGTGCCATGAGAGGAAGCAGCAAACAGCACTACCTTCTGAAAAAGAAGAGTTAACAAAATGCTGGAATAGTGCTGTAGTGTTTGACATATTGGGTTGGCCAAAAAGTTTGTTTGGTTTTCTCCATGAGATGGCTCTAGTAGCATTTAGCTGTCTTTAACTTTATTCAAAACAATTTTGTTAGATTGTATTGTGACAGCTGTCATATTAGCATGCATTAAAAAAACATTAAAATCGGTGAATTTTTGTGTAGCCATTTTAACATTGAAGATGGAAGAAAATATGCAACACTTTTGGCATATTGTGCTTTATTATTTCAAGAAAGGTAAAAAAGGAATTGCAATGCAAAGAAAAGATTTGTGCAGTGTAAGGAGAAAGTGCTGTGTCAAAAGTGGTTTGCAAAGTTTCACGCTGATGATTTCTTGCTGGATGATGTTCCATAATTGGGTAGAGCAGTTGAAGTTGATACTAATCAAATCAAGACATTAACTGAGGACAATCAATGTTATACCATGTGGGAGATAGCCAACATATTCAAAATATCCAAATCAATAAAGTTTCTGGTGAAAATGAAAAATGTCTTTTATTTTATGGAAAAAATAAATGGGCTTTTTGGCTAATCCAATATATTTCTTCTTCACTCCATCTTAGAAAGGAAGAAACTTCATAAGGATTAAGAGAAAATCAAAGTTACTAAAGTACTTGACGTTGTTCTGAGTACACTCAAAGAAGCTTATTTTATCACTGTTCTCAGCTGGTTTACTGAAAACTCATCTTTCTTAGTTAACCTCTTATATTTCTACATACAGTAAATCTCAACAGGAATGCTTAGTGAATGGAATATTAACTTAATGTTTAATTTGGTTAAAAAGAAAAGCCATTTTGCTTTCACTTTTAGGGATGTATTAATCCATTATCTGCTCAAGAAGAAGCATATTCTAAATATAATTGTATTGTCCTCTGATAACTGAGAAAACAATTTAGGGTCTTTCAATCTAGACCAGCAATTCTCAAACTTTAATGTGCAAACAAGAGTTGCTTAAAATACTTGTTTGAAAAGGAGATTCTTAGGGCCTATCACCATGGACTGTGATGGGTAGGGTCCAATAAATAACGCTTTAAATCATGTAGGTGGATCAAATATTACATTTTGAGAAACTCTTATGTAGACAATCAGTTTATCCTCATGTAATAATGTAATTGCTTAGAATATATGAAACTGCAGTATGTTCTTTCTCTAAAACATACCTAAGATTGATTGCACTTAGAAAAAATGTCTGCTATAACTTTAACACTTATTGCTTTAAACTGAAGAGTTTGCCAGTTACATGAGTTTTACTTTGTTAAATTTTTTTAAGCCTCACCTGAGGATATGTTTATTGACTTGGGAGAGAAAGAGGAAGGGAGGGAAGGGGGGGAGGGAGGAGAGAGAAGAAGAGGGATGGAAAGGGGAGAAAAATGAGAGAAGGAAGAGAAGGGGAGAGGCAGAGAGAGAGACACCGATTGTTGCCTCCCGTGTGCGCCCTGACCGGGAGCTGAACCCACAACCTAGGCATGTTGTAGAAACTGAACCCGCAGTCTTTTGGTGTACAGGACAATGCTCCAACTGAGTCACCCAGCCAGGGCTGCTCTGTTAAATTTTTAATAATTGAGATTTAACTGTATATTCCAAAATTATATAAAAATTTAAAATAACCCATAATTCTGTAAATGAGTGGCAACAAGAACTGTTATGAAGGAATTTACAAATTTCAAAGAATACGATGTTCTGACTCAGAAAAGAAACATGCATTTTTATTTAAGAAAGAGTAACCCTGCATTTAGAACAGGAAATTCCAAATGAAATAGACACACACCCCTTTAAAGTATGGGTATTAACATTTTTTTCACTCTTCATTGCTCTCTAAACCATGATTGGTGGTATTTGTGGTAAAGACCCATAATCTGGTAGTGGTTACTGTTTCCCTCTTAAGTGTTTTATTAATAACTTATTTTAAAATATGACTTCCTTAGCTTCAACCACTGATTTTTTTAGATGTTTGCCAATGGCACCAAGATGTGAGCCAGAACTCAACTGCAGGGCTATCCTCAGCCTGCAATGCAGTGGAGAATGAGAAGGAAGAGCCGTCATTTTCTGTCTTTTTTTGGAAGCATCTTCTGAGAAGCCACTCCTTCCACGTTTTCTTCATTTGCTTTTGAAACTCTTTCCAGAATCAATTTTCAGGCCATCTTTAGCCAGGAGAGTTAAGTGTATCCTTGTGCAGTCTACTATGTGAACTGACAGCTGCTTCCACAGCCAGGTCTTACCCTTAAGGATTTTCTTCACAGCATCAGAAATGCCTGGCACAAGGCTACGGACCTACTGGGCTCAGAAGCTACTGAATGAGAAGTTAAGCAATGTTTCTTACCTTGTATTTGACTGGTGTTCGATGAATGAAATGATGGGATAGCTCAGGCTGGAGAGTCTGGGGGGTGGATGTTAGAAGTCCTATATTTGAGTTTTAGTCATTTATTCAGCAACATTTAGTGAGTATTTCCAGCAATTGTCTTAGACACAGGGATGATTAGAAAGGTCCCTGCCTTCTAGGAACTCACAGTCCTAGCTGTGTGACTCAGCAGCTGATAACATGGACAGAAGCTCTATCTCTCAGTTGTCTCATTTACTAAATGAGGATAATAAAACTTCCCCATTTACTTTTTGTTTTGTTAATTTTTACTGGGATATAACTGACATGAAATAGTGTATAAGTTTAAGGTCTGATACATTTAGATGTTACAATATGATCACACCATATTGTTAGCTAACACCTCTACCATGTCTCATAATTATCATTTCTTTCTTGTGAGAATAAAGATCTACTCTCTTAGCAGCTTTGTTGTTGACTGTAGTCGTTACATCATGCATTATATCTCCAGACCTTACTGATCTACTACTAGCTGCAGTTTATATCCTTAAACATCTCCCCCATTTCCCCAACCCTTTTCCCAGCCCTCAGGAGCCATCATTCCACTCTGCTTTTACAAGTGTGACTTTTTCATATTCTGCATATAACTGATATAATATGTATTTGTCTTCTTCTGTCTGACTTATCACACTTAGCATAATACCCTAAAGATCTATCCACATTATCACAAATGGCAGGATTTCCTGCTTTCTCACAGATGAATAACATTCCATTACACACACATACACACACACACACACACACACACACACACACACACACACACACATCTTGGTTGCTGTGAATAATGTTGCAATAAACATAGGTGTGCAGATATATCTCTGAGATAGTGATTTTAATTCCTTAGGACATATTCAGAAATGGAATTGCTGAATCATATGGTAGTTCTATTTTGAATTTTTTGAAGAACCACCATACTGTTTTCCATATGAATGTACCATTTTATATTCCAACCAACACTGCACAAGTGTTCCCTTTTCTCCACATCTTAGCCACACTTGTTATCTCTTATCTTTTTTATTATAGCCATCCTATCAGGTGTGAGGTGATATGTCATTGTGGTTTTGATTTTCATTTCTTAGATAATTAGTGATGTTGAGTATTCAGGTCCTTTGCCCATTTTCCCCCTAATTCTAAACATTAATTTGTTTTCTTTCATCCTTTATGCATTTTTAATGTATACACACTGTTTATACTTGCCTCCGCAGTCTTAAATAATTTTCTTACGTATGCAGTCTGGGTTCCTGATTATACTTCAACTCTTTTTAAAAGCATGAACTCATTTTCTACACAATGCAATGCTCCCCACTTCTCTTTTCATCAGTACAACTGTGCAGGATATGCCATGATTGGGTTGGCTAAGAGCCAGGGAACCAAAAAGATATTACGTGTTCAACATTTATAAGTTTATAATTTATAAAGATTTATACACTTTACTACTGATTAGAAACTATGGTAAGAGACTTGGAAAGAGGAGAGATTATAAAACTCCTACCTATGTTTTTTAAAATTATATCTTGGTAATTTTCCACAGTTTTATAATGGTACTGTAATAAGGATTAACTATACTGGTAGATTTGTTACTCATGATTAGCTTTTCAAATACTCTTCTCACTAGGCTTTGGTAGATCGTGAAGCTTTCGAAATGTCACCTGTTTCAGATGCTACTGTATTTAAACACAAACAATGACTTGCAGTTTACAATAGTGTGGTCTGTGGTGAAATAATAGAGCCCTGAGAGTTAGTGTGAGCACTTATAGTGTCCTCTAATTTTCCAACAATATTTCCTAAAATTATGTTTGGCTACTCCTGCTGATTGTATTTTTATAACTGAGGTATAATTAAATAAAACATTATATTAGTTTCAGATATATACATAACAATTTGATATTTGCACATATTGCAAAATGATTACAATATATCTGGTTAACATTTATCACCATACATAGTTAATGACAAAATTTTTTGTTGTCCTTTTCTCATTTTTAAGTAGATGATGTACTTCTTTCCTATTGAGTTGTATGACTTCTTTATATATTGTGGATATTAACCCCTTATGAAATATGTTGTTTTTATAAATTTATATATACTATATATTTTATACATTGTAAACAGTTTCTCTGATTCTGTAAGTTGTCTTAAACTTATTGTTTCCTTTGCTGTACAGAAGCTCTTTAGACCAATGTAGTCCCATTTGTTTATTTTTGTTACCAATGCGTGTACTTTTGCTTTTTCATCCAACCTATCTTCATTTATGGATATAATGAGAAGTCAGCAAAATAATGAATATGAAAATAAAGCTGAAAAAGTACTTTGTAAAACTGAAAAGTATTTTATAGAAGTACCACAAAATTTGTTTTTGTTGTTGAAGCTAAGAAGTACCTCTCTCTTTTTTT